TCGCTGTCTAGCTGTTTCATGAATATGAAGCGATTGAAAAATGCCATGCCTTGGGTCAGGTTCACCTTAGTCCTCCAAGTGACCTCCCCGCTTTCAAATACTTCAAAAAGGGCTTGTGTAGCAGATTTGCCTAACGTAATGTGTTGCTTGATTTCCTGACTGCTACTTCCATGATCATTGACAGTGGATCCACGTAAAGCGTAATCCTTGACAGCTTCAAAAGTTTCTTTGTTTATCATGATTTTTTTCTTTTTTGTTTGTTGGTTTTTTAACCGTTTCATTGGCATATAATTCACAAATCATAAAATTCAGTTCAATCGATTTATCTAGTCATCACAATCCATTTTTGAACATTTTCTTTGTTCTTAGCTCCCCATTCCCCTCAGCCCCCCTCCCCTTGCCATGCCCCCCAAACTATCAATCCAGTTACTGTCTCTATAGATTTATCTATCCTGGATTTTACATACAGAAAAATATTTTTAAAAGAAAATTAATGACACTAACAAAGTGAAACAGTGAAGAAGCTCAATTGGAAAGAAAACAGAAAATATTAAAACCTAGAACAAATATTAGTCAAAGGGGAGATCAAATGATAAGATATTACATTGTAACCTAACTATGTCTGCCATAATTGACTTTCCTATGCTTCTGTCTGATAATTGATTTTACGATGCTTCTGTCTATTCACATCCCTCAACTATGGTCAGAGGCTTAATCCATGTGGGGACCCTGCAAATGGATTTGGGGCTTCCACTGTTTGAGCTCTGCTATCATTCCCTCCTTCAGATTGACTTCTATTTGTGAGAATTTGGGTTGTTTTCATCTTGGGTCAATCTATCTATCTGTTTCCAATGCTCTTGGGTTTTAGCAAGCAAGTGGTGTCATCTACATCTATCAGGTCGCTAGTGGGCTTCCTACAATCCCAAGGTCATGTTCTTCTTCATACAGTCCAGCTCCTTGGATTCTTGCTCAGCATACAAACTGAACAAGAACAAGGAAAGGATATATCTCTGACACAGACTTTTCCTGAGCTACTGGTTGGTGTGAGCAATTCCAAATTAAATCACAACTTCATTAGAATTTGTCAATCAATTTCACTGAAGGTCTCTGAGACTAAATTTCATAATTCTTTTCCCAATTGGAGTGGCTGGCACAATTTTGGTAAGATCTGTAGATAACTACTGAATTAAGTATAAGTTTCTGATTTTAATTGTACTATGTAAATGAATATTCTTTTTTTAACTTTAAAAAAAACACTTTATTGGCATATAATTCACACGTCATAAAATTCAATAGTCCAATCACATCAAGAGACAGTTGTACAATCATCACTACAATCAGTTCTAGAACATTTTCTTCATTCTTGTTTTCACTATTAGTACTCCCCATTTGCCCCCAACCTCCCCTGCCATGCACCCAAGAAACTATTGATCCAGTTACTATCCCTATAGATTTCTCTCTCCTGGATTTCATATACAGAAAAAACATTTTATAAAAAGTAACAAAATTAGCGAAGCAAAACTGATTAAAAACTTCAATCAAAAAGACAGCAAAGAATATCAAAAACTAGAACAAATAGATCAAAAGGTATATTAAATGATAAATTTTAACCTAACTGTATCTGCAATAATCCAATTTTCTTTTTTTTTTTAAGTCTTTTTATTGGGGGCTCATACAACTCATAATAATCCAATTTTCAATGCATTCTGCATCTTTTCCAGGCTGTTCACAACCTGGTCCAAAGTCAGAGGGGACTTGCCAGAAATTTAATCTACTTGTATTTCCTCTTCACTGTGTATATATATATATATATATTTTATTAACTGAAACAATTGTAACATAAGTCCAAGGGAGAGCAAATGATAAGATAGTACGTTCTAACCTCACTACATCTGTCATAATAGAATTCCCAATGCCCTCCACCTGATCACAAGGCTATTCACATCCCTCAACTACGATCAGAGGGGACTCCCCAGAGGTTTAATCCAGGTGTGGACTCCGAAAATGAACTTGGGTTGTTTGGTTTTTAATAAATAACTTTATTGGGGACTCTTACAGCTCTTGTAACATTCCATACATCAACTGTTTTAAACACATTTGTACATATGTTTCCATCATCATCTTTAAAACATTTTCTTTCTGTTTGAGCCCTTGGTATTGGTTCCTCTTTGTCCCCCTCCCTCCACCACCCTCCCCATCTCATGGACCCCTGATAAATTATAAATTATTATTCTTTTCATATCTTATACCATATACTGTCTCCCTTGACCCATGTTTCTGTTGTTCATCCCCCTGGGGCAGGGGAGTGTTTATATGTCAATCATTATAATTGGTTCCCCATTTCTCCCCCTTCTCCCCCGCATTCCTCTAGTTATTTAATGCTTCCTTCTCCTCACTATCGTGACCTTCCAAATCTGGCTAGACCAGAGCATGTACACTGGTACAGATATGAGCTCTTGACACATGAAATCCAGGACAGATAAACCCCTCAGGAACAGTAATGGGAGTAATGATTCCATGAGGGTAAGAATATTCGCACACGCATGCATGCACGTGTGTGTGAGAGAGAGAGAGAGAGAAAGAGAGAGAGAGAGAAATTTGGGTGAAATTTTACAAGAAAATGGTTTTCCTTTCAATAATCCATACCCATTTTTTCTGACACTGCTTGTAACACCGGCTCCCCGCAGCCCCCACCGCGACAACAATTGTGAGCATGGCACAGGAGGAGACAGTGACTAGACACCACCCAAGGCCAGCCACTCGGGTCTGATTCTATCTCTTTGGTTCCTGCAGAATGTAACTGCACGCTTCACACTTCCTCCCAGTGTCGATCACTTCCCTTCGTCCTTTCCCGCCCCTTCCTGCCTTCTGAGCTTTATCCCTGGACAAATGCCACCTTTTTCTCTCGTGTGGTTGACTGTTCTAAATAATGTACACCTCCCTGGGGTTGTAGCTCACCTTATAGGCCTGTTGATAGTTGATGCAAAATTGATCCACGGGGTGAATTCAATTCCAGACTTGAAGGTGACTAAGGCCACAGTCCCACAATGCTTTATCAGACCAGCAGGCCTGATCTAATTTTATAATTTTGAGATTTGTTCCACATTTTTCTCCCACTCAATCAAGATGTCCAATTGTGACCCCTTTCCGAGCGGTCAGCAGTGGTGACCAGGTACCACCTAGATCTTCCAGGGTCAGAGGTTGTGAAAGCTGGGGGTCGTGTGGTCCGTTAGTCCTTTGAACTAATTATTTCTTTGTGACTTTAGTTTTCTGTTCATTTGCTTTGTTTTTCTGTCTTTAATAATTGTTCCTTAGATGGCTTTTCACATGCTTTTAAGACCTCAGTTGCTACACACCAAAGTATGATGTAGAACATTCTCTTTGTGAACTAAGTTAGCCCATTGACCTTAGTACCCTACTATATTCATCAATATATTTGCAGCACATATAAATACATTTGTAGAAATAACTTGTTATGCTTAGATATATTTGTAAATGCAATCGCATTTTCCTTCCCACCCTTGTTCGGCCTCAGTGTCTATGTATCCACTGTTAGATTATTATTACCAATATCGCAGGATTGTATATGTAACAGTATTTACCTCTGTGTCCTTTAACTCTTGTGCCCTTCCTAGTGTCTTCCTTTACCTTGGACACTTTTGCTGACCTTCCCTTTATTGTATATCGCCTTTCCCTCCTCCCAAGTCTAATACATTTCTGTCCTCCAGTGAAGGAAGTCCTTGTGGTGTAGTGGGTTACACAATGGGTTGCTAACCTCAGGCCATCAGTTCTAATCCACCAGTTTCTCTGATGGAGAAAGATGAGGCTTTCTGCTCCTGTAAAGACTTACAGTCTTAGGGACCCAATGGGACAAGTCTGCTCTGTCCTAAAGGCTTGCTATGTGTTAGAATTGACTCGATGCTGTGCGTAGTGGGACACTCTGGTTCGTAATCCATCATCTCTTGCCTTCCCAGAGAATGATTATTTTGTGTATAAGCACAGAATGATTGTATATAAACAAAGAGTGATTATTTCTGGGTCTTGAATTTTTACAGTAGTTGTCTCATACAAAGTGGTAAGGCACATTGTCTTTTTATGATTAACTGATTTCACCAATAATGTCCTCTAGGTTCATTCATGTTGTGAAGTGTTTCACAGATTCCTTATTCTTTAACATTGTGTGTGTGCTTGTGTGTACCATAGTTTGTTTATTCATTCACCGGGTGATGGGTACTTAGGATGTTTCATCCTTTTGCTATTGTGAACAGTGCTGAGATGAACTTGGACATGCACATATCTAGTTGTGTCATGGCTCTTCTTTCTCTAGAATATGCACTTAGGTGTGAGATTACTAGAGCATGTATTTCTAGTTTCAATTTCTTTAGGGTAACGCCCTAGTATTTCCCACAGTTGTTGCACCATTTTACAGTCTCACCTGGAGTGTACGAAGGTCTAAGAAAATGCTCTGCATCATAGGAAAACACAATGAAATGCTTAAGAGGCATCGTGTTTGAAACTCATTCACAAATAATTCAAAAATAATCTATGAATATGGATAATAATATGGAAAACCAGTTGCTATTGAGTCAATACCAGCTCAAAGGGGCCTCGAAGTGCAATTGGACTCCACAGGGTTTTCAACCGCTGGTTTTGTCATAATTCTATTACTAGACCATTCTGGCAGAAGGACTTGAACTTCCAACCTTTCAGTAAGCAGCTGTGCATATTCATTGCTTGTCCATTCAAGGACACAGATGTAACAAAATATTATTAACAAGAGAATCTAGGTGAAGTGTATCTGGGAATTATTCTTCTCTATATTTATAAATTTTCTGTACAGTTGAAATAACTTCATTATAAAGTTGCAGAAAACTAGGTCCATCATATGCTTACTACTAAAATGACAGTGATTTCAGGCAAGCTAGTCTTACCAAGTGAGCCAAAAATAATATCTACTGTTTTGTCATTGTGGAACTAACATGAGTCATTTCCTCTTCCAGCTGAAGAAACCCTCTCCTGTTCGTGAAGCCAGACACTAAGGATGCTTCACACATGAACTATGCTGAAGGTAGGGGATTTGGTCACATGCTCTTTTGTCACACTGCCATCAGTCTGACTGCCCATTTCACCAGACAAACGCTCTATGGGCTCACCAACAATAATTTCAAACCAATGTTCGTATCCTCTCATCTTGCTCTTTTCAAGTACCTTGCAGTCTCCCTAACTTGTCCTGCCTCGACTCTCATCCCTGCATCTGCTTTTATCAAGAAAAAGATAAAACTAAAAATGTCATTAGTTGTGATCTTAACCTGGGTTCTCTAGCAAAACCAGAGAAGATGATATGGGCATATTTACAAAGAGGTTTATACCCAAGAAATGGCTTATACTGTTCTGGACTCAGGCAAATTCCAAGTCCATGGGTCAGATATTAGACCGGAGGCTTCTCCTAACTCACGCCTCTGCAAAGGCTGAGGAGCCCTGATCAGCAGGTCAAAGAGCAGGCCTCTGGCTGCAGAGGTGAATGAATTCAAGATCAAGATGTAAGTCTGCTGACAACTCCAAGGATTAGCAGACAATGCAGCAGGCTGCTGACTCAAGTCCAAAGAACCAAAGTGTAGATGGCAAGCCAGATACAGATTCTAGACCCAGTAAAAAGCAAGCAAGTTTTCCCACAGCATCCACTTATATTTGAAGCAGGCCACACCCCAGAGTAGATCTCTCATAGGTCTTAACTGCTAAATTGAGAATCCTGGCCAAGCCAAGTTGACACAAAGCCTTAAATATTACAGCTGATTTCTGGAGTGGGCAGGACCAACAGCAGTCACCCACAGAGGCTCTCAGGAGGGTGGGGCTGGAGCACCACACTGAGGTGGGGGAGGAACAGCTCCCAGATGTGCAGAAACTGAGGAGAAGGCATGAAAAGAAGATGGACATAGTGGAGCAGGGGGCCACTACCTCTGTCTCCAAGCCTTGAGAGGGACATCCTGGGACTGGCCACCTAAGCTGCAGTGCTACTTCCCTGGCAGCCGGGGCCAAGGAGTGGAGAAGACCCTCACACCCTCCCCCACACCTGGGCAGCCCTGATTCTGGCTAAGGGGGGCAGGGGTGGCAGCACGGGCATCCCCCTGAGAAACATTAAGCTCCTGGCAGGGGGCCCACTTATTGGCTGGGTCCTGTGTGCTGCCTTGGCCTCAGGGATCTTCCAGAGTTTCAGGCTCAGCCTGGAGATCCTTTCTTGACCTTTGTAAAATATGCTATGGGGCCTGCCCGTGAGTCAGCACAATCAAGAGCACTCTACATGTGTGCACAGAGTAGACTTAAGGCTTATGCTTTAGATCCTGCTGTCCTTAAAGTGGCAGATTGTGATTTGAATTAAATGTTGAAAACACCATGCTTGCTGTTTCTGTTCACCCTGTTGGAGTGTGGGTTTTAACAGCCCCTGAAGAAATTAAGAATGTGGCAAGCCATTTGGTGCACACAAGTTCATCGTCGAAGTTCTGAGGTTTCAAAGGACAGTTCTGCCTCTCTGAATACTATCATAAAATTTCTTTTTTTTTTTTTTTAGAATTTCTTAATTATCACAGTAAGATTGATATTATAGGAAACACTCAAGCTACTTCTCTGTTTACATCCCTCTGGCCTTCAAAAAGTCGCAGACATGATCTGAGAAGAATGTTGTGGTCCTGTGGTCTCTGTTGTGAGACACCATCAGTTTCAATGGAGTGAATTCAGAAAGGAATGTGTAAGGTGACCACGCCCCCAAATTTGAGTCCAGCGAAGCAAACTCAACATTAAGACTGGCATGGACCTCAATGATACGATCACTGAAGACAAATGGGTGCATAAGCAAATGTGGCGAAGAAAGCTGATGGTGCCCTGGCTATCAAAAGGGGTCTTAAAGGCTTGAAGGTAAACAAGAGGCCATCTAGTTCAGAAGTAATGAAGCCCACATGGAAGAAGCACACCAGCCTGTGCAATCACGAGGTGTCAAAGGGATCAGGTATAAGGCATCATCAGAACAAAAAATTTTACCATAGTGAATGATGGGGGGAGTGTGGAGTGGAGACCCAAAGCCCATTTGTAGGCCACTGGAGATCCCCTGGCAGAGGGGTCTCAGGGAGGA